TAACATTTTATAAAGATAATAATTAAGTATTTTGTTAGAACTCAATGATTATCCTAATTATATTTTAGATTTTTTATATTTAAAATAAGATGTTTATCCTGTATTTGATTGTGTTTATCTGCAGTTATTACACGAATTCAGTTATGGGATGAAATCGGATAGGGATGAACTGGTTTAAGAGTTTTAAGAGTTTAAGAGTTTTTAAGAGTTTTAGCCAAATGCATTATAATATAGTATAGATATTATCATCAGCTCGACCAATATTTAGTTTTAGGGGCCGTTTACTAAACACTACCGGAGTAAGTACCTATCGAACGACGTTCTCATTAAGCTTTCCCAGAATCCTTCTTGTAATTGGCGATGCAGGATTTGCCTAAGATATTCCAAACACCCCGTTCGAGGACTCATCATGCTCGATGATGTTTGTGTTGGAATCCGGGAGCCATAAACTCAGTGGAAAATAATTGTATGCCTTTAAGAATCCATATGAAACGGATTAGGATGGGTGTTCCAAAATCTACCAGAACAAGCAGCAACCATTTGATGTCGTATATGAATCTAAGCCAACGAACTTAACTCGTTGCCTCCACGGTATCCACACAAATGCTCTGAATCAGTTGATGTCCTACGTCAAGAAAGGAGATCATCTTGCTTCTCGAATGCAAGATATAGTCTCCAACTCTTTGGAGAAAAAGAAGATCAGCTTATGGAATATATAGAGAGAGAATTGTTCTGATGAACAATTCTCGCAATCTGTCTCTCTCTCTCTAATCTTATTAACCATTATTTCACAATGGTCTTTTTCTTTTATTAACCTGGATATCCAACTCGCAATGCGAGCCGACTAATCGACGGCAACCACCTGATTTACGACTAGCCCCGAGTCACCGCGTTTGAACCTCCATGGTCACAAAGGGATTTTTATTCCTCCTTAGGTTCGAACATGAGATCTCGAGGCACTTTTTGACTTTTGGAACCCAAGCTCAAACCAATCAGTCATCACCCTTGTGGTTACAATGGTCTCTTTATATATAAGTGTACTGACAAGTCACTACTTGTCAATCCTATCCCATATCTCCTAATAAGCAGTTGCTCGTTAATAATTTATCTGATAAATCAGTCACGTTTGATAATAACTGGCTAATAAATTAAAAACCTTCAACTAACATTTCAAAACATTAACTTACAAACTAATTTCCGTTGGAATAATTATATGTCATCTTCAAAAGGAAGTGATTGAAAGAAGACTTTTCTTAATACTAAAATTCATTATGATGAATGCTCCATTTACAAATCATTTTTCTCAATTTTATTTATTTTTTAGATAAATTGCATGAAAAAGTAACGTACTTTAACTTTATTCCTATTTCGGGTGACGTACTTTTAAAACATTCATTTTGGTACCTAAGATGTAAAGTTTTAAACTACTCAGGTAACTAGTTGAAGCACTAACTGGTTACTATGCTGATGTGATATCCAACTCAATATTATCTGTTATTCAACCCAATTTCATCTCATCACTCGCTACATCAACATGATAATCGGTTAATGCTTCAACCAATTACTTGGGTACTTAAACATTAAAATTTTTACATCTTAAGTACCAAAATAGAAATTTTAAAAATACGTTACTCAAAATAAGAATCAAGTTAAAGTACGTTACTTTTTCATACAATTTATCTTTATTTTTTTCCCATAACAATTTATGATTTATTTAAATGGTATATTTTTAATAAACTAAAAGGTGTCAAACATCACATAAATATTAGTCCTCAAAAGTTGGAAAATATATTATTTATCATTATTAATTAAAACAAAATTAAATTATAATTAAAAAAATAAAAAATAAATAGCCTCTATATATATATGCTTCAACCTCCAAGAATCTCCTCACTGCTCACTACACCATCTTTTCTTCCATCCCAAAAAGACAAACAAAATTTGGGAAGAAACCCCTCTCAACAAGGTTCTACTCTCTCTCTCTCTCTCTCTCTCTCTATATATATATATATATATGTATATGTATATGTATATATGTATGTATATCCCCCACCATTCTGTTCTTCATGAGTCTGTGTCTTTTGTATTCTTTTGGAAAGAAATCCCAAAACTGTTGATGTGTTCTTCTACCTGTGTGTATGTATTCATTTAGAGAGAGAAAACGAATCGAATTCACCAAACACCTCTCTCTCTCTCTATATATATATATAATATGTATCTATAGCGGGTGAGGTTGGGAGACCCACCAGATTTCGACCATCAATAACCCCTTCTGTATCAAAATCTATCTGTTTACTGTTTATTTTTGTGTGTTTTCTTGATGGATTCGATGCTTTGAAGAACACCATCACCATTATCACTCAATTCCTCCATTTTTAGGTTTAGATTTTGATTCGCGTGTTTATCTTTGATTATAAGATTTACCTTTTTTGAATCTCTCTTTTTTTGTTTAGAACTTTCTTGATTGTACTTTTTGATGGGTACGGCTTGATTCTCATCCTCTTTAATCTCTATTTTCAATAATTTCTTTACAACATATACATACAGAATCTGTATGTCTATGTTTGTGTTACTACTGTGTTTCTCACTCTCAATTCGTTTGAATTAGATTCAGTTTTCTGTAACTATTAAGTTTTCAAATCATTCATTCGTAGAAGTTAGACTCTGTCACGTTGACTGTTTTGATATTAAAGCTGATAAAAGTCAAACTCACCCACAAAATCTCTTCATTTTGATCAATTTCATCGATCTGATATGATCAAACACTCACTTTCATCGTCTTTTCATCTGGGTATGATCTAATTTTCGTTTTACGATCTGGGTTTTGCTCATCAAGATCCAATCTTTAATCTCTTTGTCAAATTTCAGAAAGAAATTTGATCTTGATGTGAAATTGCTGCAGGATCCGTCAGTTATGTTGGAAAAGATTGAAAAGGCATTCGATCCCGAAGCAGTGATCGAAGAATTCGAGGGTTTGACCATGGATGCGAAGCGGGTTCAGATCGAGACCTTAAAGAATATCTTGAAAGAAAATGGTGAAGCAGAATATTTAAAGAAATGGGGTCTTGATGGTAGAACTGATCCTGAAAGTTACAGTTCTTGTGTTCCTGTTGTCACCCACAAAGATCTTGAGCCATTAATCCAACAAATTGCTGATGGTGCACCTCACCCTATTCTCACTGGCAAGCCAATTACCACCATTACTCTAAGGTATTTTTCGGTTATTTTTTCGCTATAATTTGAGGAAAAGGTTGATCACTAGCCACTCCGACGGGTCCCACATGGACCCCGCCTCCTAGGAACCACATGTGAGGTGGCATATTATAGCCGACTAGGCTAGCAGTGGGGTTCAAGCCCGTCTCCTCTTGATCATGTTTGTTTATTTGAGCAAAGTCGCTCTGCCCTTTTGCCAACCGAACTCACATCCTAGGGCTATTTTTGGCTATAATTTGGATAAAAGGCACGAGCCCACCCCCTAGAAGCCACATGTGAGGAGGCACTTCAGAGCTGACTCAATAGCTGAGGCTACCATAGGGGTTCAAGCCCGTGTGCCACAAGATTAGAACTTGAACCTGTTATGCATTTGGGCAAAAGTCACTCAACCCCTTTGCGAGCTATGCAGCGGGCTATTTATGGCTATAATTTATTTCCATCTTGTGCATTAAAAGCTGTTTGGTGAACCAGTTTTTATGCTTTCAAACTGAGATTTACTGATTGTTTTTGCTGAAAAATATGTAGTTCTGGGACCACTCAAGGGAAGAGGAAGTTCGTACCATTTAATGACGAGTTGACCGAAACAACAATGCAGATATACCGGACCTCGTTCGCTTTCAGAAACAGGTAAATTTCGGAAGGCAAACGATTGATAATTAAGGGGTCGTTTGGTTAATTCACGAGCTTCTGACAAGTTTGAGAATGTCACTGCTACTGCAAAAATACCTAGAAATATGTGAGAAGGTCATAGATTTAAAAAACAGATGTCAGGAGGTCATTTAGCTAAATAACCCGTTAACAAAGTCCAAGTAAATATAATTTCTTGTGATTTGGGTATGAATCGTGTTCATCGAATTGATTATATCTTGTTGGAATTGAGGGTAAAAAGGTAAATCAAACCAAACGAATCTAGTATATCCCATCTGGAGCTAGGTTGATTCTGAAGCATAAGAATCCTTGATTTTTACAAGGGAGGGGTAGGAAAGTCTTTTGGTACATGGATTTTCCCGGGGCCCATGGGATTAGTTGTGGTATGCTCAAGCTGGTCCAGATACCCATAGTTACTGACGTGCTATTGGTTCAAAACAGTCTGGACTCGTAAAGTACACTGAAGACTTGTACCTTGATTCGTTGGTAAGTTGTACCTTGATTTGTAGAGTACAACCTACGAAAGCATCACGGTACAAGTTTTCTAACATCATAGTTACGATAATGATCCGAGTTTCGATTTTCTAACGGTTTTCTTGCGTCTCCAGGGCATTTCCGATTGGAAATGGGAAAGCTTTGAGCTTTATCTATGGCAGTAAACAGTTCAAAACGAAAGGTGGTCTGCTAGCCGGAACCGCGACCACTAACGTATACCGTAGCGACCAGTTCAAGAAAACGATGAAATCTATGCAAACCCCATGTTGCAGCCCGGATGAAGTCATTTTCGGACCCGATTTCCACCAATCTTTATACTGTCATCTTCTTTGTGGGCTCGTTTTTCGGGATGAAATCCAGGTTATATCGTCGACTTTTGCCCATAGCATCGTGCATTCCTTTAGGAGCTTCGAGTTAGTCTGGGAAGAACTCTGTTCCGATATAAAAACCGGAACTTTATCGACCCGAATCACGGTTCCTACGATCAGAACCGCCATGGCCAAGATTCTGATGAAACCGAACCCGGAATTAGCCGACAAGATTCACGAAAAATGTTTGAGTTTCAGCAACTGGTATGGTTTGATCGAGGAGTTGTTCCCTAACGTGAAGTATATTTATGGGATCATGACTGGATCGATGGAACCGTACTTAAAAAAATTACGGCATTATGCTGGTGGAATCCCATTGCTGAGTGCCGATTACGGGTCTTCGGAAGGGTGGATCGGAGCGAATGTGAACCCGACTCGGCCACCGGAGATGGCTACATTTGCCGTACTTCCAAACATTGGGTATTTTGAGTTCATCCCGTTGAGAGAAAACGATGTAGCGAACCAGGATCAGAGTGGACTCGAGTCTGCATTGATCCCGGTCGAGCCAAGACCCGTGGGTTTGACTGATGTCGAGATCGGTGAAGAGTATGAGGTTGTTGTCACGAATTTTGCAGGTACCATCTTATTCGTTTGGTTTATTTAACGTTTTTGTATTGTGCGTTTTAACGTTTTTATACATCCCACCGTCCCTAGACTTGCAATAAAAAAAGATTTCCATATTCATTGAGGGTTGACTATTTGACTTTCGGGATGTAGGTTTGTACCGTTACCGGCTCGGCGATGTCGTAAAGGTTGTCGGGTTCCATAACGCAACCCCGGAGCTCCAGTTTGTTTGTAGAAGAAACATAATGCCGACCATCAACATCGACAAGAACACCGAGAAAGATTTACAGTTCTCCGTTGAAGCCGCCGCCAAGTTGTTGGCGGATGAGAAACTCGAGGTTGTTGACTTCACGAGTCAAGTTGACCTCTCGTCGGATCCGGGACATTACGTGATCTTTTGGGAGGTCAACGGTGAAGCAAGCGAAGAGGTGCTTAAAGAGTGTTGCAATTGTTTAGACTCGGCATTCGTGGATGCCGGTTACGTGAGCTCCAGAAAGGTCCAAGCTATTGGACCCCTGGAGCTCAGAGTCCTGAAAACAGGGACTTTTCAAAAGATTCTGGATCATTATGTTGGTATGGGGTCCACCTTGAATCAATTCAAGACACCACGATGTGTGGGCCCCGTTAACCAGATAGTGTTGCAGATACTCTGTAATAATGTTGTAAAGAGTTATTTCAGTACCGCTTTTAGTTAGGGTTTTTCCGATCGGGTGGGGGTCTCTTTTGTTAGCATTGTAATATTGTAATTTGCAAATATTTTAAATAACATGCTTTCAATGTTGTATAGTAAAATTCATCCCTTTTTAGCCTTTTTCTTTTGTATTTGAGGAAGTTCTAGCTTTCTAGAACTTTCGCAAACAGATCATGTAAAATATCAAATACTGTATTTATTTCAATACATACTGTATTATTTTCTAACTATTTACTAACCAAAATTGACAATTTTCGGAGATTATTACTGTTCTTTTTACCTTTTTAGGACGTATAAAATGCATTAAAATGACCAAAGGGCTTTTGTCCTCACAGTATCGTAGTCTTTGACCTCTTACAAAGTTAGTGATTCTAACATCACCATAGGTGATGAGGGCGTGTTAGTTTATTTGTTACATTTATCATATATAACTATTATATATATACGTAAAAACTGCATTAAAATGTAACAAATTTGCCACATTACTTATTTAATGCAATAATGATTTTTTTTTCCCTTTGTTACTGTAGCAAACGTTTAATTCTTTCTATTTTATATTTATTTGACATGGTAAAAGTGGGGTTTCAGATCAAAGGGCGTTTGGCCTAGCGGTATGTGAGTCAGGGATTCAAACCTCGCCAAATGTGAGGAGGGTGTGTGAGTTTATTTGTTCTATTTGTCGTAATAAATTATATACTTCAAAAAAAAAAAGGGGTTTCAGTCTATGTGGCATCAGTTGATTTTTTGATGTAGCATTTTTTCATATAATCAAGAATAACAAAATAACTTGACAACTTGGTGTACACGTCATCAGTAGTTAAATAATCTATCAGTTACCGGTTAAAATGTGTATTACACTAAGTTCGGAAAAGTAAACGTTTTCTTGATAATAACAATTACAGAATTAAAAAACAAGCTGATAATGAATTATATATTGCAATAGGGTTATATCTGAATTTGATAAAGTTTTATGTCATCGTCACATAGGTGGTACAAGCCTGACCTAAAATTAGTTACGTTTCCCCAACAATCGCTATCGTTGATTTTACGCCATTATTGTTTGTTTGTAGAACATACAAAAGAACGTTCAGTAGCTGATGATAAAAGTCAAAACAAGTTCAAATCAAAACCGTTGTATCCAACCTGTAAATTCCGATTATACGATCAAATTTGAAACCGTTGGTTACTGTCGTATAAATTACGTTACCTTTTTAATTGATTATTACAAAACGAATGTTCTTAACATATTCATAATATTATTACATATAAAATCCTGTAAAATACCAACTATCCCCATAAGATTTTAAATCCAGTGTTTGTAGATTTCAGTAAAATCTTCAAATTCTGATTTCGAACTTTCTTTAAACTAAATAATATATTGAAATGAAATCCAATTTCAAGTCCTGAAAACCAGACCGGTAGATGTCTTCACATGGGTGGTACTTATGGTTGCCTTACTACTAGTACAATAAATAGTAGAGGGTAGGGGTATACAGATGATCAATCGATCCAATTGGAACCGACCGACCGTAATTGGACCGGATCGGATAAAAATTTCAACATCCAATTTGGACCGGCTCAGCTCTCGGATGGCAGTCTAGAACCGAACAAAACCAAATCAAACTGAACCGATCAACATCCAATTACCCATCCAGTTGTCCATCCAACCATTATCCAACTATCATCCAATTAATTTATTTTTAAATTGCTTAAATTCGGAATTTGTTTTATATGAAGCTTTGAATTTTCAACTTCCTTTGTGTTGGTTTTAACACATATTAAAAGTGATTAATTAATCTGTATCATTGTTAGAAAATTGGATTGAATTAACACACTGGATGAATCCAATCCCCATCAGATCATCCATTGAATATCCACTAAAAGTATCCAATGGATGAAACCGAACCGATCCAATCCAATCATCCATTGGATTGGAATGAATCGCTTATCCAATGTCAATCAAACCGGATCAGTTGACAAAATCCAACATCCAATAGATGACTGAATCAGTTTAGTTCTCCTCACATTCAATGAATGTCAACCGATGAACAAACCCAGTAGAAGGGTATATTTCTTTTTAAAAAAAAAGGCTCAAATTCTTGGAAATCTTGAACTATAATGTGATATTGATGGGCATTTAGAGTTGAGTGGGCATCAAATTACACCAATTTTCCCAAAATGAAAGGGGGGAAGAATTTGGACCACATATTTATTAGTGTTATTAATGGTTTATGATGTTGAAATGGTGTACCCACAAGTGAAATAGCCAATTAGCCATTACAAGATAGTGGAATATGCTTTTAAATAGTTGACCTTTGGACCATTGGGTGAAACAAGTAACATGGGTTTTGTGGGTTGTAACACATGGGGTGTCAAAAAAAACCGTTGGATGATTTAGCTGGTTGAACCAAGTCAAATTGGACTAGTTTGTATGGTTCTGTTTGAACCTACACACACATATATATCTATATATATATGTGTGTATGTATAGGTGGAGGTTCAAACAAAACCCCTGTGATTTATTAGAATGCGAGAACAACCTACTAACTTCAAACTTTTTAATCAATAATTTAAGTTATATAAATACAAATAAGTCAGTAAGGACAATAATGTAATTAGATATTTTTTATAATTTTTTATTTTATTTTATTTTAATTAATTAGAATGATGTCATCATTTTTGCTTGAGATTGATCAGATTCAACTAACGTGTGTCACTTTCTTTTATCCTTTTCTTCTCATCGTATTTGAAGGTTTATAGTATCGATTCAAAGTGTTAACTGTGACAAGTGATACCCATCCAACTTTTCTTAAACGATTCGTCAATTGTCAAAACAATCCCTCAACACACAATCACTACTGTATTATGATTATCTATTAAAAGGTGATTTAACACACAATACTTGGCTTACAAGTGTTCTTGCGTTTTCATAAATCACAGGGGTTATTATACAACCTCTTACATTTGTACAACCAATACAACTTAATATCAACCGTCCATTTAATTTGATGAATATGTAATTTCATATAAGTTTTGATTGTTTCATAATATAAAGTATTGATTATAATTAATGAATCTTATTAATCTTCCATAAATATTTAAATCATAATAAATGAACTCTCATCATTTCCATAAATATTTTCATAATAAACTCTATATCTATCTATCTATATAGAGGAGGTTTACTTTGCAAACCACGTTATTTGTACAAAACCGTACAAACCTCATTCAACTAATCATAATTTTTCATTGTGTTCATTTTTTTTTGTAATTATGAGAGGTTGATTAATCATTTTTATTGTGGAGGGTGTTAATCATGGATATTATCATCTTCATTATTTTATATTTAGAGAAATACATGAAACGGTTTCATTAAAGTTTCATTAAGTATTATATGAAACAATTTCATAACCATATATGAAACAACTTCATCAAAAAAAGTATTATATGAAACAATTTCACAAAATTAAACAATTTCATGAAAAAAATTCATAAGATTAAACAATGAAATCGACGGATGAGGGTGGTTTGTACGGTTTGTACAAATTGAGTGGTTTGCATTTGATTACTCCTAT